GGAAAGGTGCAGGAGAGAAGCAGTCTCAGGGAATAAGGCTGGCTGGATATGGTTTCTGATCACTGATTTGGGAGTAGGCTGTGGGCTAGTCAGCTGGGTGTTACACAACCCAGAATGGATCACTTCCAACACAAGCAAGTTGAGATGGAAATGGAAAAGGACTATTTCCAACCACATCCCTGCTAGTGAAAAGAACAGTTAAGGAAGTTTTTTATGCTGTTTTTCTTTGTTATTTTTATGCTTTCTTTTTCTTTGTTATTCAAGGCTTAAACAGCTCATCGTGTACTTTATAGGGCAAGTTCTTCCCAAGTTTATCTACTATTTCCCTTCTTTTACCCATCTTCAGCTGTTTCTCTGATATTTGGGGAGGGGAAGGCCTCTTTGGATCAAGATGAGGTCAGACTCTGGGGAAGGCCAAGAAGCAGCAAAAAAGCTGCCACTGTCTCTGTAAACAGCATGGGAAGACACTGGTGAGAAGCATTTGAAGATACTGAATGGAAGAATTACAAAAAAAATTACCCAGCACTGAAAAGCAAACCTTGCATTAGAAGTAATTATCCCAGCAAATCAGGGAGAAGACTTAAGAGGTGATTTGACTACTGAGTCAATACTGGGTTTTTAATTTGCAAATAAGGCTAAGTTAAGGTATAACAAGTTCTCCTGGACAAGGACAACATGCATTGCAGGTCTACATGAAGAATCTCTCTCTGACATGGCTGATTGTTGTGTCCTTTTCTTAGAGCTGGCATCATACAGACAATCTGTGATCAGAGAGGAATCCTCACATGACAGAGGGGAGAAGGCATATGCAAAGGGATTGTAAAGTTCTTTAACACACCTGAAGAGAAAGGCTCACAAGAAAGTGATTAATGTCTTCAGAGCAAGTCTCGAACAGCATTCAATATAAAAGACCTGGGGCTGTAAAATGAATAATGAGGGAAAAAGAAAAGGAACAGGACTTTAACACAAATTCATTAAGCAAAGGGAGAAACTAAATCATACAAATACCAAAGGGGCTGCTGAGCATTTTATGCAAGGCATATAGTCTTCATACTGAAATATATTAACTTTAATTAGAAGTTCTACAATTCATTTTAAATTGTTTTTGTTTTTTAAAATAGGTTGTTGTTTTGGGTTTTTTTATGTGCAGCATTCTCAAGAGATAAATACACACGCACAGGTATGCTTACAATGGCAGCTCCAGTTTCATAAAAAATGTGCACATGAACACTTCCAAACATGTCCTGCATGGTCTAGCCTCAGGAGGGGTAGTGGGTGGTTCTCCAGCTACCTGAGCAGGCAGCACTGACGCACCAAGGAAGAACACATCCCAAAGCAAACTCCATGGCTGATGATGCCACTGTGAAACCCAGCCAAGAAAGAAAAAGCAAGCTAAAAGCTGCACTCCTTCCACAGTTCTCAACCCCTAGAGGGTTTTCTCCTTTTTCTCTGCAGCCATCATTCCCCCTGAGACTCACCCCATTTCTACAAAAAAGGAAGCTTCCCTTCATTCTCACCTGAGTGGATGTGACAACCATGAAAGGAATAGTTTGCCCAAGGCCATTACTGCACCAGTGCTGTGCCCACCAGTCAAACTCAATGAAGGGGAGTCTGTGCTTATGGCTGCTGCACCCTGGCTGGGTCTGGAAAATGCTGGTTGGTGTGATTTCTTGTGAAGCTGCATGTGCATGGATCTCCTCTCCTTGTTCCTTCTGCAGTCTCTGCAAAATTCAGCTGAATTTTCTCAGTAAAAATATTTTTTCTTTATGTTGCCGTGCTGTTAGGCACTTTTATCTCCTCAGCAACAGTAGACTTCAATTGCCCCCTAAGAGTCAGGAACACAGATGAGTCAACCTTTAGGATGCAGACCAGGATGCTGGCCAGGGACCACTCATTTCCTCTTAGACTCATGTCCTGCCTCACATCTGTTTCTATACCCAGCCACTACCCCATTCTTGCCAGAGTAATGTCTGGGATCAAGCCTATCCTTTAAGCCACACCAATTTATTCCTTTTGACCTCCCAGGTATATTTCTGGATCAGGGCTAGAATTTATTATTTGTCCACCTACCTATGACTTAATTTTCACACAAAGGAAGGGTGAGAGCTGGGAAAAGGCAGCTTTAGGGAGGCACGGTGCTTTCCAAGAAGATCCTCTAATTTGGCTAAGTGGGAGCCCAGGATCACAGCCCAACATGCAAAGAACATTGTACTATGGTCTGAAGTCAAACTAAGAGTTTAAAGGCTCTAAACTTTTCTGAGCTACAGAAAACTATGGAGGAAAATGAAGAACACATCACATGCAGAGGGATGATCACAGACAGCAGGCATCTGCCCCAATTCACCTTCCTTCTCTCAAGAAAGGATTTCTTCCTATTCCTAATACCTTCCTACAGTTTATCACAAGCCTGTGGAACCAGCTTTTGCCTGGTAAAGCACAAAGTTGCTTTTTAAGTATTATGTCATTGATTTCGTGACCAACAAGCGTGCAACTGCTCAACATCTCTTGGAAACTTGTAATTCACATTTCTAATAAATCTCAAAAATTATGTGAAGTATTATGCCCATTAACATTTACCTTTAAAAACACTTCCAGAGAGCAAACTGATTCTAAATTTCAGTAGCTGTAGGCCTGAAGAAGATATTATTAATTTATGGCCTTCCACTACCCTCAAAACCCCCTTATCAGTTTTTTATGATTTCTTAAAAATATTAATACAAAGGCAGGCATGTGGAACTCCAACTGGGGAGTAGCAGAGCCTTGCCACAGTCAATAAAACCTCTCATGGGTGCAGTGTAACTGAAATAATACACCAAGAGCCCTTCCTGAAAATTCCTCCCTGTGGATTCCTACCAAAACCAGAAAGACTAATTTTCCCCAACACACAATGAATGTGGGTTGACCAATGTGTAATTAGAACGGGTGTGCTTTGTGAATGAATTTGTTGTTATAATTAGATCCAGCTCTTAAGACACAGAACTGCTTTAAGTATTTTTACCAGTGGGTTTTATTTTTCTTTCAAAGCCAAAAAAAAAAAAAAAGGAAAAAAAAAGTCTGACAAGTGTTGGGACTAATTTACTAACTTCAATTCCTCAGTAGTAGTATTTATACGACTAGAATTTCGCTGCACAAGGCAATGCTTGAAAGAACAGCAAACACAGGAAGGGAGCACAGGAAAGGGAAATAATGGACTTTTTGGTGGAGACATTACATCATTTGCTTTGCAAAGCATCTGTATTTCACAGCCACAGGAGTATCAGCCAGCTCCAAGATAAGGAACCTGTTTATTTACAGTAAATCTAGTTCAGATTTCATCATAATGTCAATATTTGCCATATTACTACTACAGTTCCTTTCAGTTAACACTCAGTAGTTAATAATATGTTGTATGCAAAGGGAGAAGATCTGAATGAGCTCTGCATATAACCTGAGAATTGTCAGGTTTGGAACATGGTTCACTCCACTTTTGGAGGGTTCATTCATTGCCAAGTGCAAGGAGACAAAACCAGCCCTGGCAGAAAACAGTTGGCTTCCAGCTCAGAGAGTTTTATTTTCCTAAGATTTTAGTACCAAACCTGACAACTAAGAAGAATTATCAGGCTCCTGTCAAAAACTACAGACAGTCCAGCCAGGCCATTGCAGCAGAGACTTCTCCTGTCCTGTAGTCATGTTGTGGATCAGTGGGAAGCCAGGGTCTGGTAATCAGGTGTTGGGGTTGGGCTCTGGCTACAGCTGCCTGGGGAGTAACTGCTGAAGGAAGAGGGGCAGCAGCCAGTGAAGCTGCTAACATGCACATGTTGCACACTGCAGGTGGGAAGTGTGGTTTTGGCCAGCACTGGAATCTTGAACCCATTTTACATAGATAACGGGGTTATATTTCATTAAATATGGGTAGGAGGTGGAGATAACCCTAAGAAATACAAGTTTCTCTAAGCCCAAGGAACAACATGCTGATTGCTACTCTCCCAAGCCCAAATGAACAGGTGATCTCATGGTGGGCTGCTTGCTTTACATTTTCTGTGCATTTATTGCAATGCATGCTATCAAGGTTTATATCCAAAGCAAGCACACGTTTCTGCGGTACATCCACTTACAAAGACATTGAGTGGTCAGCAATATCTGGTCCCCCTCACCCAGCTCACATGCACTGTCTGGGTTTGTCCCGTTGTTTCTACTGCCACTGATATACACATAAATTACTCAGAGAGCTTGTAACTCATTATTCAGCAGTAGCTCTCCTCATAACCCTTGACAAAGTAGATTAAGGATGCCTTCTGACTCTGCATTTACCATTGCTCGGGAATGACTTTTTGACTGATGATCAATCAGCTCCAAGGGAGTGGCCTCCCCTTTGTGAGCCCTCAGTTTGCATCTTCATTGTGCTCCAGACTGGAAGTTACCATCTGTGCCTCTGGGGCTCTTTCACTGACACAGATCTCTGCAATGGATCTCATGCTAGGACAGGAAACCTCACTAATAGCTAGGGTGATCAAAGCTGTTGCTTCCCACATTAGTGACTCTGTCTTCCAGATCTTGCTGTTTCTCACAAATTAGAAGCTATGACATTGACTAGCTGGTCCAGACTACCCTTGCCTTATCTTCTCTGTCAGATAAGCCATGTGTGGCCCAGCATGACAATCCCCATGCTGTGCAGAGAGCTCAGGACATACAGAGTAAGTCCCCAGACCACCATCCTCAGCAATGCACAGAACAAATAGAACTGTCATAATTCACAAGAGAACAAAGACTGAAAATTTTCTGCCTCAATCAAGCACTATATCACAAAGTTCCACGGCTCACCAAGTAGAAAATAATCCAGACAATTCTGTTTATTGTTATATTGGTTAAATTTACTTCGTCCCAAACTGCCCTTTTTTTCAGTAATGTTCCTAGTAATGCAAATTTCATTCAGCTTTATTCAGATAAACCATGTCAAGTGCATATGTTTAGCAAAGTGCTCCTTTCTGCCAAAAAATTAATTCTGAATTTCTATAATATGCTTTGTGAACAATGTTTTTATTACCTTTGTAGAATGCATCTCCCCTCTACAGAAAATATGGTTACTGACAGCACAAGAGATGATATGGAATAAAAGTAAATCTAACATTCAAAACAATAATGAGTATTTCTACATATTAGCATTCATACCAAGCTTAAATTCAGTACTATTTGGATCACAGATGACTATTGAATGCTATGGCGAAGTAGCTATAAAAGCAACAATAATGACAATTTTAAAATAGTTAACAGTGTGAATTGGAAGATTTAATATGTTTTCTTCCTTTAATGTACAGCCCATTCCCAGAATTTTACTGGACCATGTGGACAGACCAACTGTCACAGCTGTCTATCAAGGCTGAATTAGATGAAGACAAACAATACAGGCTTTGTGGTTCAACTGAAGCAGCAGTCTCGAAAGTTTCCATTTCTCATCTGCGGGCACTGTGGGAGCATTGTCTTCCTCCTCTCTGAAAAGAGAATGGAACAATTATGTTACTGAAATTCCTCCACAGTGGGTCTGAAAGACTGTTTATATCCAGCCAGGGAGACAGGGAAAACTAAAAGCTGGGATTTCATGACAGCAGGTGGGAGCAGTTTCAGGGTATATACTTCAGTGACATAATGGTACTGATTCTTCTCTTTGAGGGTAAAGGCAGTGCTGCAAGATTTACTAGCAATGGAGGAAATGGCAGTAAAAATGCAAAGTTAAATGCAGTGGTAAAATTATGAATTTGAAACAAAGTTTTACAATTGGCTTTCTGAATCAGTCTGGTAACTGAAACTGGTGCTCATGGTAGCAAACTTGAAAAAAATATACTGGTCACAGAGAACTTTTTTACCATTTACTATTTTAGGGGCCTTACTAAGTGAAATGCTGAGTACTAGCTCTCATGGGAGTCAGGTAGGCTCAAGGGATAGAAAGCAATCACCCAATTTCTCCTAATAGCAGTAATATTCTTATCCATCAGCAACATTAATCAATATTTGATTTTATGCAAACATGTATTCATGTGCTTTGATATGACCTTAGGAATCACAGATTGCCCCAGTGCTCTCAGTTCAGAACCAGTGGGTATGAGAGTGTCTGACTGCTTCATTCTGTTGTACTAATCATTTCCTTATCTTTTTCCCCCGAGGTTATTATAGTGCTAACAATAGCTCAGTGTGTACACACAAACAATCTGAAAGTGCTCGTGTGCAAATGGTCACCTGGGCCTACGAGTGCCTGCAGGAAGTCAACACATTCCAGAGAGTTCCCGCTCTGGTCCTGACAGGGGAAGGGGGTGTAGAGGTTGTCAGTGACCAGCAGCACTGCTACAAAGTCAGTGCCCATCCACAAGACAATCTGTGATTTCCACATACTCCCTGGTTATCACTCAATGGCCCCCAAAAACCACGTTGTCTGGCAGCAGCACCATTTGATGGTCCACTCGAAGAGCTTGCTACCAGCTGCCTCCTAAGGCAGGCTGTAAGCAGCGGGTTTTACACAGCACAGAGGATTCCAAGTTCTTCCTGGGGCTTGGTATAAAGGTGCAACATGAAAAAACAAAACAACCAAGTAATAATAACAAGTTATTCTCCATCTCTGGAAAAACTCTTGACATGTTTTTCAGTGGGCTACTGATACAAGGGTGCAGGGACCAACTGCCCCCGCCCTGAAGTGAACAGAAAGTTTCCATTTCTGTGGCCAGACGGCACTGGATCAGTGAGTAAGACTGAACAATCCACATGAGAAAGTTCAAAAGAGGCTAAAACCTTTGTGTTTTTAAGATTCCATTTAGGTAAACTAATGCTGTGACACAGTGACACTTCTTCAATCTCAATTAGTGCTAAACTAATTAAGAAAATTGTTTTACACACTGCAGTGAGTAGTACCTCCCTTCTTGGATAATCCCTCGTGTGATGTAAGGGTGATTGAGTATCTAATTACTCTTTAATTGAATGCACATTTTGTACATTTTTAGCTAGTTCAAGCTTAATGCTTTTAGTCCAAAAGTCAAAGTCAGTGAAATTAAGTTGAACTGGGATTTGATGCCTATTGTATTAATGAATTACTTTTTGAAAGGAGCCTAATTATGAGCCATTCTGAAGATTTCAGCTGTGTTTGTTACAGAAATACTTAATGTATTGTCTGGCAAAACACTGTATGCATTGGTAGTGTTGTTATCCATGTTTACACTTGTTTATTCTTGTTTAACAATAACTTTCCTACTTTCTGGTCCTCTACAGATCAAATAACTATTCCCAAAGAAAACTTTCCAGGATCAGTGTCATGAAGTGTAAATACCTTCAAAATCTTCATAATTCCCATGGTTTGGGGAAAAAAAAAATATTAACAAGGTTAATCAAAGCTCAGAAATCAACCTCAGAATTTAAAAAAAGAAAAATCATTATTTTTCTAAGAATATTTATATCTAATTCTTTCATATAGAAATTTTATGCACCTATATTCTTTACAGAGAAAATTTTCTTGCACAAAACTGGGACAAATGGAACACTATAAATTTCATCTCAGAAACAAGGAGAAGAAGCAGGAGCAAAGATAAGGAGCAAAGCTGTTATATTTTTAAGAACCAAAGGTCCCAATGTACCTATAGCAATAGAACATATTTAAAAGAGAAGATATGAGAAAACTTCAGTGAAAAGGATTATTTTTCAAAGTCTTCCAAAAGTGTTGAGAAAGTGCAAATAAAGAGACTGGAGAAATTAAATAGGATGGCCATGATAATATGTCTTTCCATTCGATGGGGGGGAAGTAAGATGTCCCACTGCAGCAGCTTCAGGTCAAGATCAATACACAAGATCAAAACCTTTATTCTGCTGCTTAAAACTAGTCAATCTCCTTTCTGAAGAGCTTTTCCACTTCTTTTGTCTGACCATATTCCTTACCCCCATTGTCTCACAAATGTCCTATCTTTTTCTTTATGGAAGGAATCTTGCCTTCTCCTCCCTAACATTAAGATAAATCAAAAAGCTCTTAAAAAACAAAAGACATGGGTGACAAAACCAGTATAATACTGACAAAACACCTACACCTTCCTAAAAACAGCAGCTGAATGTACAGCCAGGCATGGATTCAGAGTGTCTCAGAAAAGAGAACTGAGTATCTGATCAAACTTATCTTTCTTGAAACACTTTTCATTCCTTCCATGAAAAGGTTACAATTCATGAAATCAACAACAAGTTCTGCGGGCATTTAGCTACATCTAGCTAGCTAAAATATATCTTTTTTGTCTTGAGCTATAGGGATGCATAAATGTTTTTAAAGAAAGTTTTGTTGGGTAGCACTGCTCTGTCATAATCTCTGCTCTTATCCATAAAACATTGCTAACAACAGTTAGTACTGACACTCTGTTTCTTGAGTGGCAAGTATCAGTCGCAAAACCATTTTCAGTAATCCAAATAACTTGGTAGTTTTCATTGCTATTTATTTACAAAACACATCTGTTTGCTTAGGAAGAGTTTGCATATTTTTCATTGCATTGTCTTTATCCATACGAAATAATCAGAATTCAAATTCCAATAAGAGTAAGGATCTGGGCCTACCTGGATCTTCAGTTTCAATGGAGTAATAACGTTCTGCTTAAATCTGTGTGATTTCATCCAGGTAAAACAGAGTGCACTTCCAGTGCCTAACTTGTGTAACATTGGTGAAGAAGGAAAGCATATTGCAGGCTCTCTTCTCTGTATTGTACAGGTATATGTACCTGTCCTTCTAGTACCTTTGGTATTTGAGAGCCTATTGCATTATATTTTATCTTATGCTCTACTCTCTTTTTCTAAAAATGGGTGTAGCTTTATCAATGATGATTGAAGCTTCCTACTATTTTGACACACCACTTACTTGCACCATTTTCCCCAGAAGTGAAAATACCGTGGCAGAGTTTCAATGTGTGTTCAGACTCTAACTTGTTTGTTGTGATTGCTAATGAATATGTTATGAGGGTCTTTTATATGACTCTGGGCTCCTGGCTACATTTTCAGTTCCCAAGTAGCAGTCTACAAACCATACATGGTTTATGGTAAGCTGCTGGGAATTACACTCTCAAAACTCTTTTTATGAAAAGTTGACAGTAACAGTGAATTATGAATAGGAAAGACTGTGTGATGATGATAGAAACTCACAGGTCACAAAATTTAGGAGCACTTGTCACCATGAACTATCTTATTTGAAGCATAAGCAGGGATCTGTTTCCTAGACTACTTTATTACTTTTTTAGCTTTGAAAAGGAAGCACAGTAATCTTTCCTCCTTGCTTCTTAACATTTTGACCATTTTCCATTCCTCTACAATTCCTGTATTTCTAAAAAGAGCTCAGTAAGGAACTGAACAATTCTAACATGATACTAACACTGAAAACTCAAAATGGTTTTCCGTCTCATTTAGGTTTGATCACCTGCTATCCTGGCCTGGACACATATATACCTACCACAGCAAGGACCAGTCTATGACTTTTGCCTGCCTCTGGCTACCAAGTCTCTACATTCTGGCCCCCAAGTCAGAGGTATGTCACATAAGCAACAAAAGTCTTTTTCTAGTCACTAATTTGAATCATCAGCAGTGGGAAAAAAATTATGCTGATATTACAGGGTTCACTTGCAATCTCAGTGCATACCCTACTCCCTGCTAGTACAATGAAATAGTCAAAAACAACCTCAAAAGGCACCCTTTTTCATCCATTCCTGGAGATTTTGGTTGCCTGAAGGCTCCAAAAGTTTTGTTTCAAGTAGGCCTCCGATTATGGTGTGTGGCTCACAAGCCAAAGGTGTTTTGCCCTCTGTCCTACAGTCCTGCACTCAAGTGTAAGCACATTCTCAAGAACTCTGAAGTGGCAGAAGAAGGTTGGGCACTGGGCATAAGACCTTAAATACAGAAGTACAATCATCAGTTTTGGTGATAACATGAAGTTCAGTTTATTTAAAAAACTGAAACTGAACAATTAAACCAGTCACCTTCTAAGCACAAATTCTAAATTCATGGAGACTAACAATGACCAATAAAAATATCACTCACTTAGAAACAGCATAAACACTCATATTTCAACAAATCTAGGAAACTGGTGTTTGCATTTCTAAAGAACTAATGTTGACAATCTTTCTGTTGGGTTGATTTGGGTTTTTTCAAACAGGAAAATGATAAGAACAGTTGTAGTAGCCTAATGATGCATGGCTGCTGACAGCTCATTCCAGCTCTGGACCTACACAATAGGAAAGGATAAAATCACCAAGTGTTAGAACTTCTGCAGAGCAACTCGTTTGTTAACTTCACAAATTGAAAATGCTTCTAGTAAACTGAGAGTAAAGACATGTGGATTACTATTGTAAATGTCCATTAAAATAGAAATTTCACTTGAGATCTTTTAACACAGAAATACAGTCCATAGAATTCCATCACCCTTCCCATTTCTCAAAGGCAAGGTACAACTGCACGGCTGACTCTGGATTTGAATGTTCTTTCATATTCTACA